CAACGTCCTCCACAACTAGACTGAAGAACAAAACGACAGCAACTTGTCTGTTCCCCTTCCCCTAATTGCCCAGCACTGTTCCCATCCCCCCAATTCCCCAATAAAAATCTTAAAAAAAAAAAAAAAAGAATTAATGTATTTCACATTTGAAACTATTGGCTAGGATATAAAACCTACAGAAAACATTCGGTGACTCTAAAAGTTACGCGTAAGTTTAACTTTCTTATTAGGCTGGCTCATCATTGACCCTTGGTCTACCGTCAAAAAGAGCTGGTCATGTGATGCATAGCAATTTCAGTTTCTACTAGATAAAGCAAATACAAGAAGGGAAAAATAACTCGATTCTCCTTTATTTTCCAACAGATCCCAGATGGATTTTTTGCCCATTTTTATGCCATTTGTGAGCACATCAGCCCTGTTCTAGCGTGGGGCTTTTTGGGTCCTAGAAATTCTCTCTATGATTTATGTTGCTTCTTTAAGGTATGTTCAATCATTGAATCATTTCTTTTTTCTAAATCAAAAAGCAGATAAGGTATTATTCTGTTTTTGCTTTTGTAGAAGATAGACTGTTGTTTAAAGGTAAAGTTATAAAAGTCACCTAAAATCAGTGTTTAAATGGCAGTAGAACAGTGTTATAGATTTGATGCTTTATCCTGGAGTACATTGAACAAGTCCATTCACCTTATCAGTTCCTTCTGTAATGGATACGTGTTCTAGGATGGTGTTATGATGTTACAGTCAAATTGCTGTAGACAGTTTGTTCTTCATTGCCTGGAGGCTTTTGAAATTTATAAAACAAATAATATCAGCCTTTGCTGCACATGTGGCAATTTGGAAATAACTTCTGATTTAAGGTAATAATGAATGATGAAATCCCAGTTGTGAGAAATAACATGGGAGTTTAAAGTTGTATCCCTATGTCAGCAGTTTTAGTTTGCCAAAACACAGGTTATAGCTCACTGCAGAGTTTTCTGCCTGGCACAGTGCCAAGAAAAATCTCACTATTTTAATAGTCTTGAATTTAGGCTGAGTTTCAAGGAGCAAATAAAAAAGTAAATATAATCACGTATGAATTTGAAGGGTTTTGATATTTAAAAGTTTGGATATTTCATTATACCCTTCATTTAAAAAAACAAAATTACATTTATGTGCTGTTAATGTAGCATTTATGTAAATAGTTTAGGAAATGTTTATTTTACTGTCATTCAAAACTCATGCTTTTTTGATCCGCTTACTTGACCTTCCAAATATAAGGTCTGTGTTTAGTGGGAAAAATTTGGACTGGGAGTTAAGTCTGTCATTATTGAGCAGTCTGGCTCTGGGCAAATCATGCTTTGTCCTCCTTTTCTTCTATAAAATGAGGGGCTTGGCAGGTTGATTGCCATTGACCCTTGCAGCTATAAAACCCAGTGAATCTATGGAGTGTCCCTTCTTAGTACTTAACATTTGATTTGTGTAGGATAGAAATTAAATATTCCTGTTTTTTGCTCTTTGGACTTACTTTTAGTTTCATCACGGCATAACGGCACTGAGACTTAATGCTTAGTAGTATACAACTTGCTTAAAATGAGTTTCAACATAAGTATTCACTTACTGAAATGAAATATCCTTCTCAGTTTTCCACTGATTTGAGGCCTGAAATTATTTTTATTTTGCATGTGTCTTAAGTTTTTTTATATACCTTAATATATACATTTAAATATATACATTTAAAATATATACACTTAAAACTTATGAGTTACAATTATTGGAACTATTTTACTTTTCTGTCTTAAAGTAGTACCAGTGCTCATAGGTAACATTGAAAACTTCTATTATTGGGAAAGGAGTAATAATAGCGCCTTACATTTATACAGTTTAACGGCCATTTCCTGTAGTTTTTTGTTGTTGTTGTTGTTGTTTTTGATCATCACATCATTCCTGAGTACTAAAAAGGACACGTGGTACTGTCCCTTATTTTACAGAAAATGAGACCCCAAAAAGGTTTAATTGCTTGTTCAAGGTCCCTTTTCCAATGAGATAAGAAACTAGCGCCGGAACTCAGGCCTTCTGACTCCTAATTCAATGCATGTTACAATATTAGCAACTATTTAGACTTAATATAATTTTGGTCTAATAAGTGCCAATTTGTTTTGTGTTCATTTTCCAGAATCAAGTTCTTTTCTTTCTCAAAGACATTTTCGACTTTGAGAAAGTGCGCTATTCCAGTATAGAGACTTTGGCAGAAGATCTCAAGCAGTTACTTACTCGCCGCACTGAACTCTTAATAGCCTATGTTGGAGCTGATGCACTGAGGCATACAAGTAGTTGTATAAGTAATCATGCTCATATGTCCAGTGGCCTCGTGGAAGCCAAAGTGCAATAGGTACCATAAAAATCACACAATTTGAGTGTGCTGTGAAATATTTTGAGGTAATTTGATTTTGTAATATAACGCAGAATTGGTGGGTATGGACTCAGGGAGGAAAAAATATCTCGAAAAGAATGAGTGACCGTACTGTAGTTACACAGAAGTTCTATCATTGAATCCCTGTGTAGTGTATCCAAAGCAGCTTTTTACTGTCTTTAGATAATAATATAAGTTGTGAAATGTTGTCTATTTTACAGAAATATTGCTTGAATTGAAGCTAGTACTTGGGAGTTAATTGATTTGTCACTTTGAAGCTGTCTGAAATGTCTAGTATCATTCTCAAAAGCTCTGATACTATGCTTTGCACCTTGAAAGTAGACATGTTAGCTAAGACTGTGGCCCACATGTGCAAGAATATATCACACCTAGTGTCAACAAACTTAACTTTGCCTGAAAATGTATTTTTAATTGTAAAGTTATTCATTTGTTTAAACAAGTTTAGACAGTAGTGGTGTTTAATATATACTGCTCACATTATTGCTTGTGCATTTGCTGATGTATTTGAATCAAAGAAATTGTAATGGCTGAGTATCATTATAAAACATTTAAATGAATTGACGCTGAGAAGTTTACAAGTTACAAATTTATATTAGATTTACTGCAGTTTTCAAAATATATTCAGTTGGTCCTATAAGTTACAATACAGAGACTGAAGAAGTTTATTTTATCTTTTTATAGATTAGAGCATTTTTCTCTTGAATGAGTATTGATTAAAAAGATAACATTTATTAACTATGACAGGCAATTGAAATTTTTCTTGTATAGTTTTGAGACTGTCTCCCAACATCTGAAGGTATTAATCTTGATACAGTAAAATCATTTCTCCTTTCTCCTACAAAACAGGTTTTTAGTTATTCCCACAGAGAACTTAGTACATTTTTGTCATATTATGCCCATATTTTAAAAATATTCATACTTTGAATCTTAGTGAGGTTTTAAAGAAGGTTTATTTTTTCCATAACTATAGAACAAAACATTTTTAATGGTATGGAAGTATATTTCATGTTCTTTATGACAAATATATGAACGAATGGGTTGTTATATAAGGAAGGTTCTTCAGAGTATATTAGATACTTTCAGAGTTGTATTAATTTTGTGTCTAAACCATATACCACTTATTTGAAGTGGATGACTCAGTATATCAAGGGATTGGATGTGTTGATTTTGTTTTTAAAGTGGGCTTTATTCAATTTAGGAGTGAGTTACCCAGAAGGATCTAACTATATTTTTTTAGAATGGATTTTTAGATTAAAGTGCCTAGTTTCTGATTAATGAATAGAAAATGAAAAGTGGGGAGAAAAGCATAATCTTTTAGGGTTTTAAATTTATGTATGTGCCACGTTTATGTAACATTAGTTACAAAATAAGACATTCAGCATCTTTATGCTGTTTGCATGTACTGTGTTCCCTAATGTATAGGTTATGACATTAAACAATATGAAATATTGCTCTAGTAACTTTTTAGTATATAGCGCTTTGACTTTTCTTACATCTATTCTTAATTTAAGAATTGGCTATTTGTAATTCTTATCATTGATGGAGGTGTATCATTAGAAGTATCAAAGCTAAAAATTCCATTATGTAGTGTTTTACTTTTTAATTTATATCTTGTATTTTTAGCTTCTTGTTGAGGTACCACTGGCCTTGAATGATTCACACACATACACACGTGTGTGTGCACACACATTTCCATTATCATGTAGGCAAGACAGTTATTGCTTATATTAAGTTTCTATTTGTGGGGGCTAAATGTTTTTAAGCTGTGGTTTTATAAACAGAGCTATACATAAATTTAATTACTTTTTTATTTGAGGAAGATGTTATTTGAAATCTATTTTGAAGAATTGCACTATTTAATAATGCTGCTACTATATAAGATAAATGGGGAATTTATTTCATTAGATAAGATGAATGACTTTAGAAAGTGTTTTTTCTTTTTCTCATTTACATTTCACCTTTAAAAAAAAGTTGCTCATATTCAAGAGGTTGGTTTGCCTTATTCAGTTGCTTGAGTTTGTTTAGTTTCTGGTCAGTTTAGTAGCTACTACTTTAGTAAAATGCTTTCTTTGTGGCTTTTAACATAAGAGACAAGACTGACAAAATAGAATTTCAAGGTAATAAGTATAGGGAAAAAAGCCTCTCTAATGTAAGAGAAGAAACTTGAATTTTTAAAAGTACCATCTTTTGAAAATGTTTTTGTGCACAGAAGAGTACTTAAGACATATGTGCCAATTTCAGTTTGCCTTGAAACTGGGTTAAACAGCTAAAGCAATGTTTTAAAAAAATAAGAAAATGATTAAACTAGTTTAAAGCCTTTTAGGATAAAACCCTGTCTAACACTTACTCATGGTAATATTATCAGAAAATTGCCATTGCCACCATGAGTCCTATCATTTACTTCCCTATATAAATCATAAGAGGGCCTTCAATTCATCCTGACAAAAATGATTTTTTTTTCCCCCTTCTGTTTTCTGGAAGAAAAAAGGTAAGTGTTCAGAGGATTTATATTTGTTTTGTTTTTTTCCCATTTTTGTTTCTCTACATTTTTGTTCAACTAGAAGGCTTTATTTCTTCTTGAAGGCTTACAGTATGTTTATTAAATGTCAAAATGAGATTATCTTTTTAAAAAGAAGCCAAGTTTTTCATACTGTTACACTTAGCTGCAAAGAACTTTCTCTCAAATAGCATGTTCTTTATTTGCATCCATTTACTATTCTTAATTTGTTCAATTAACTGACTTTATAAAAAATATTTACAAACTTTTTCTTGCCTTAAGGTGTAGCATTTCCTACCTAAATGATTACCCAGTAAGTGATTATTTGTTTTGCGAGAGAGTTCTTTAGTTTATCATTCCTTTAAACCTATGAAATAGGAATGCCAAAGTAACATTTAATATACTTCTGTGTGACCTTTCATAATCAGAAATTTTAAATTATGTTCATAATCTACCTTTATTTTAATGTGAACACATTAGGAAATTATTCAGAATATACATTTGAAAGTGATTATATGAATTAGGCTGAATTCAAAATTTTGGTTTTTTGCTTGGATTAATCAAATGTAGAAGTATTTCTGTATGCGAGACAGGAATTTGTGTAATCTGTGATTAATGGAAACAAGGGCATCCTTTTGTTGTTGTTGTTCCTAATGATTACATTGTTACTGTTTTGCTTAGTTTGAGAACAACCATGTATGAGCTTTACTTGACCAATATCAGTAAATGTGTCTATTTCTTAAATGTAAGGACTGCACTTACTAATTGATGTAAAAGTGAAACAGTACAGTAGCAGAATAAATTAGCACTGGTTCTTTAGCCAAAATAAGCACTGTAACATGGATGTAGTTCTACTGCCAAATAAAATGTGATGGTACATGTTGCTGATGTATTGAATATTTTGTACAATGCTTATATATTTGTGAGGTCACACTTGTTGCATCAAATTGTGTACCCTATGGGAGCTTTCAGTCTCCCATAGACCTCGTGTACACAGGCATAGAGAACACAGACGACTGCAGAAGCACTGTAATCAAGTGTAAAAGTATGTTTTCTTTTTGTACTAACTGGGAGAAAAGACAGTTTCATGATGAGTGAAGTCAAAAGTACTTGGATTTTAATTAACAGTTTAAAGTGTTTTGATAAATAATGTCATCAAGCACATGTAAATTTATCATGTGGATGTACGTGTGTCCATCCCTATTTAGACATCTCCCGAAACAACTACTGCTTGGTAAAGATTCAGACACATTTAGTCAAGGAGAGGGATGCTGTCTGGGTACCACTGCAGACACCAGATGGCCAGAAGGGTTTACCTGGATATAAAAACAGTATTCTTGATTTGAGTATTTTAATAAAGAGGTTTATTTTAGGATAATTAAATATGTACAGCATAGATAAATATATAGTTATATTTTTAACCCTCCATTGGGCGCAACTGATCTCACAGAATCATTGCACACAAAGATGCCGCTATGAAATATGTCTTTACTGTACTAAGTCACAAACACGACTGGTGATAGGTTACGGTAGAGGGGGAAGATACGGAAGCAATGAGTCACGATACTTAAGTTACCCGTTAGATATATGAAAATGTGTGTGCAATGAATCTGTGGATCAGTTGCACCCAATGGAGGGTTAATCTATTAAATTAAACATTAACTGAAGTAGGGGCAGCTGGTTAGCTCAGGTGGTTAGAGCGCAGGCTCATAACACCAAGGTTGCCGGTATAATTCTCACATGGGCCAAGGAGCTGCACCCTCCACAACTAGATTGAAGACAACTACTTGACTTGGAGCTGATGGGTCCTGGAAAAACACTGTTCCCCAATAAAATTTGTTTTTAAAAAAAACACCATAAACTGAAGTACATAATTTAACAAGCAAGCCATATAAATATGAGTGGAATCTTTTTCTAGCTAGGATATAAGGTTGGAGATGGAATAGGAAACCAGATCAGCCTCTCAACCTCATCCTGTTTTCTTTGCCATCTGCCATACTCTTTATTGTCTCATGCCGTCCTCTTTGATTCCGCTACCTGAACTTCAAGTTTTGCACTTGAAGCATCTCTCCTATTATTATGCTATTTGTAGGGCTTCACTGGAAGTCTTTATAAGCTCACTGGGTTCATCACTGTCACTCTTACTGTTCTTATGCTGCTTTTGACTTCTATTTTTTATGTAGTCTTTCTTCCTATAAAGTATTCTTTAATACTTTACCCTGACATTTTTTCTCCTTTAATCTCTTTTCCTCCTTATGCTACTGACATCTTTGATCAGGCCACAGCTCTTTCGGTGAGGTTCTTTCTTTTTTGTTTTTTTTTTCTGCACTTAAACAGTGAAACCCTTAAGTAACCTTCATCGTTTGGGCAGGAAAGGACTGATTCCAGTACAGAAAATAAAGCAAACCTTTATTCTATGACACTTTATTTTTTTACTTAAAAGCCACAGCAAAGCAACTGGTACATCAAATACCACCTCAACGTTTTGCTTTTAACTGAATCTTACGTGTCGCAAAAGCCTTTCACAAAGTACATTTATATATAGGAAATTCTAGAACTTCTATAATTTTCTATGTTTAAAATAATGCCATAATACTCATACTTGAATATAGAGAAGCACTTTGATGTTTGAAAGCACTTGAAATATAAGACTTCTAGAACTTTGCTAATTTTTTTATTTAATAACACTCTGTGGGAGAAGAGGCCCAGGGACTGGCTTTAAAGAGGACTGAGGACTTAATGTGGTAAAAGATGGATAATTTTACAAAGTAGGTTAAAGCAGGTGTATTTGTTATCTATTGCTGCATAACAAATTATCCCAAAGTTTAGCAGCTTGAAACAGCAAACATGATCTCACCTAGTTTCTGAGGACTGGGAGTCAGGAATAGCTGGTTCCCGTGGCTCTAGCTTAGGGTCTGTCCTGAGATTGCAGTCGTCTTGAAGGTTTGACTAGGGCTGGAGGATTTGCTTCCAAGATAATTCTCACATGGCTATTATCAGGGGGCTTTAGGTCCTTGCCATGTGGGCCTCGTAACAGAGCTGCCTAAGTGTCTTCAAAACTTGGCAGCTGGCTTTCCAGAGTGAGTAAACCAAAAGATATCAAGGCAAAAGACACAGTATCTTTTATAGCCTAATTGGAAATGACATACCATCACTTGTGCCATATTCTGTTGGTCACACAGACCAACCCTAACACAATATGGGAGGAGATTACACAGGGGTGTGAATAGTAGGAGGCAGGATTATTTGGGGTCATGCAAGGAATCATAATAAATTATGCATAGATAACCTAGACATTTTAAGTTTAAATGACTTAGTACACATTCTTTGGCTAATCTTTTGATGTAGGGTCAAGAGCTTTACTTAGAATATGGATCCGCTTGGTATTCCGAGATATCTTTGTTGCAGAAACTACACCTGTAAGTCATCCTCTGGGATCTCCAGTTTCCCTTACTTTTAAAGAAGAACAAATTTACTTGAAAGCAATGAGTGCCGATTCCCATTGATTTTTATAATTTTGTACCTAATCTTTTACATTTATCTCCCCCACACTTAGCTTGATAGTAATTTTTATAAGCCATTTGCCTTTATCAAGTCTTCAAAGCATTCGTCTTAGCTTTTATAAAAACTATAATTCTTTTTGCTTTTTTTTCCTTTTTGTAATGTTAACATAATTTTAATAACATGCAACTGACAGAATCAAGTTTGAGAACAAACCCATCTGATTCATGGTAAATATATAAGAAATGTTTATACAAATTGGCAAATCTTGGATTTCAAATAGTCTTCTCAAACTTAGCATGTCCAAAACTGAGCTCCTGACCACACCTGCCCACACCTCCTCCTAGTCTTTCTCATCCCAGTAACTGACAACTCCATCCTTCCGGATCCTCAGGCCAAAGACTCCTTTTTCTCACACTTCACATTCAATCTGTTACCAAAATCCTACCAGTTCTACTTTTAAAAACTGTACCAAGAAAAAGAATGCGCTGGGCCGGCCGAGTGGCGCATTGGTTAAGAGCTGGCTTAGGACGCCAGACGGCCCCAGTTCGGATCCCACATATGCGGGCCAGTGACACTGCCCTCTACAGCTAAGATGCTGAACAACAGCTCAACCTGGAGCTGGGCTGCCATGAGTCACCGACAACGGGGTAGGCTGCAGCCCCTGCTGCAGTGGGTTGCCATGGGCTACCGTGTGTAGCCAGCAGCCAGCGTGAGCGGCCAGCAGCCGCAGTGAGCGGCCGTCCAGAAGCCGGCGACTGATCTGCCTCGCCTGGGAAGAGCGCAATGATGGTGCCAACTTGGGCCAGTGAAGCAACATCCTCCACAACTAGACTGAAGAACAAAAGGGCAGCAACTTGTCTGTCCCCCTTCCCCCAATTCCCCAATAAAAAAATCTTAAAAGAAAAAGAATGTGCCAAACATTTCTCAGTAGCTTCTCAGCTATCACCTTGGTCCAACTCCCATGAGCTGTCATCCTGATTATTTTGGAAGCCTTCTAACTGGCCTCCCTGCTTCTTAGTGCATTTGCAGCCCATCAGCCAGAGTGAGCATGTTAAAAATGTCAGATTATGTTACTACTTTATTCAAAATCCACCAATGGCCACCCATCTTGCTCAGAGTAAAAGCCAGAGTCCTTACAATGATGCACAGAAAGCATCCTCCAGTCCATCTGCCCCACTCCACTTCCTATTACTTTACCTTTTGCCTACTAAGCTCCACCCACACAAGCCTCTTTGCTCTTCCTAGAACAAGTCAGATAGGACCCTCCTTGGAGCCTTTGTACCTCTCCCTGGATGGCTCTTTCCCCCCTCCCTTCCCCCTGCACCCCACCAGATATCTCCAGATATTTACATAGCTCACTGCCTCACTTGCCTCAAGACCTTTACTCACATGAGGCTTTCCCTAGCCACTCCATCTAGAATATCTACCCACCCCATTCCCAGCATTCCCTACTTCCCTGCTCTGGTTTCATCCATATTGTATATCACTAAGTACTACATAGTTGGTTTATTTGCTTATTGTCTGCCCTTTGCCACCAGAATTCCAAGGCTTTTTATTTCTTTTGTCAGTGCTGTATCCTCTATCTAGAAGAGAATACTTGCTGAATTGGTAGAAGTAGGCCTTACATGTTGTGGGTAGCTATCAGTTTTATAGTTAGAATGGAGAGATTGTTTAATCTGGTGAATCTGATGGTGGGTATCAATTAAGAGAGCTTCTTTAAATCATGAAAATAAATGGATAATTTTAAATGGATAAGTGTATGGAGGAAAAGGGTAGAAGGGGAGTTTACAACAGGGCAGACTGATATAGATTGGGGTGAAAGGAGGCTTCTCTGAGAAAGGAACATTTAGGCAGACAGCGAAAGCTTATGTTGAACTTAGGTAGGTGAAGAGTGGGGGAAAGAGGATTTTATGCAGAGGGAAGAGCTTGTTCAAAGACCCTGCAGCTAGAATGACCATGGAAAGTCCCATGAACTGAAGGTCAAGGTGACGGTATTGAAAGGAACAAAGGGGCCAGGGAGCTCCAGCTCATCCAGGCCACCTACCACTATCTGTATTAGAGTAAGCTTAAATAGCTATTGTGTTGACCAATCTAGAACTTCAGCTGAAGAAGGAATGGCTTACACAAAAGAAAATCCATCCTGGGTAAATAGTGTATGGGGATGTGGTGGAGAAGAACGATTACAGTTAATAGCAGGTTTTTTTCAACATCCCTGAAAATATAACCTGAGCACTATTGTCCGCCCAGGGCTGGAAGTTGGAAGTGGTTGTCCTGGGTTTATGCTAGTTAATATTAGTTCAGTGTTAAATTAATTTGTTTATATTCATTTTCTGCCTGTAGCAAAGAATTGAAGATCTCCCCCACCAGGAAAATGCTCTCTCTGAATAAGCACTTCAAGTTTTCATATGGGTTATTTGATGAGTATAATTGACAGGCTGGTGGTCCAGGTTGAAAAGGTCTGTGGGTGCTAAGATTCACAGTTGCCTTTATGTAGGTTTAAAAAGACCAGAGATGATGTGCCTTCAATTAAGAAAAGATAGAAGATTATATAAATATTTTCTTTTATTCCTCTTTCCACTTCCCCCCCCACCCCCACCCTCTTCCACTTTTCTCTATCAAGCACTCTCTGGAGTTGAAGACTGGAGCCAAGAAAAGGTGAGCCACAGACAGAATACGGGGTCCCTTACTTCTGCCCTGTGCTCTCAGCAATGAAAGAGAAGTTGGCCGAGGTCATTCAGTGCTTTGAGTGAAGATAAGGTAGTGGCTTGGCCTTGTGATTAGAAACCAGGACTGGTAGAGTAGCTGAGAGAAGTGGGCCACAGGGCAAACCGGGCGTGGGTATGGGGGAGTCAGCTCCAGCCTATTTATGGATTCCATTCCAGTGTCTCCCCTTTCCCACCCGGGAGGCAGCCTTTCTTTCCCGGACCCTAACGGGAGATCCAAGGTGAAGGTGTCGGCGCAGAGACTCAGAGCCCGGCGACCAGCAGGTTCTGGCGGAAAGTTGTCAGCCACCGCCCCCCTAGTCTGCCTGCCTCCTCGACTCTCCACCCTTCTCCGGGCGATACGGCGGAGGGGGGTGGGGTGGCTGGGGGGACTGGCCTAGTGTTTTGGAACAGCTGCAGCCGGCGCTGGGCCCGCCTGGAATGCGGGAACAGGCTGCGCACCAGGACTTTTATGGAAACTTGCTGCTGGAGACGGCGGCGTCGGCGGCAGCGGCCAAAGGGCTCCCAGCGGCTGGAGCAGCAGCGGCGGCGGCAGCAGCGGCGGCGGCGCCAAGACCCCTGCCCACACCCAGGCGCAGGACGCGCATAGCCTCTCCACGCGCCACGAGGACGGTCGCTTGTCGTGGGCTCCAGGCGGGTGAGAGGAGTCGGGGGGGAGCGTGGGGCTGGGGAGGAGGAGCGGAGGTGTCGGGTCTCCGGATGGGGGCGGGGGCTGCAGGGAGACGCTGCCGGTGCCCCGGCTCCTGGACGGGCTCCTCCGCGGCACCCGAGAGCGCCGGGCTCCCTCCAGCTGTGGTTACGCGCTGGCTCCCGGCCTCCGCCGCGAGCAGAGCAGGGTCAACCTCGCTGTCTGTCCGCGTCCACCGGCCTCTGGCTCAGGTGGCGATTTCCTTGCCTCAGTCCCCTGCTTCGGCTCCGCGTGAGCCCTGTCGGTTGAGTCTTGGGTGCTTTCTCAACTCCTGCAGGGGAACAGCTCTCCGTGAGCGGAGTGGGTATCACTCCCTGTGCTCTATCTACCCTTGGGGTTCATGCAGGTAAAGTTCAGTGTTGTCCCCCACCACGTGCCCCCGGCGCTGTCTCCGTCTCTGCCAGCTGTGCCTATAATTTTTAAGAGGAGTCCTTCCTGATCTGTCCCTGTGGAGGCTGGGCAGGGAAATGTGATTTAACAGGCTATCACCTTACCCCTCCACTCCAAACTATTTTCGCGATTCTGTCCGAGGTGGGATGTTGGGGGTTGCGCAAGTAGAACTGGCAACTGGAGGGAATCATGTAGTTACTACCTCTTGAAACCTCCCATGTCTATATTTTTTTAAACCGCCAAGCCATTCCAGCTGTGTTCGTAAACTGTGAAATGCTCTACAAATGCTAAAAATGTATTATTGACATTTGTAAAGAAAATAACCAAGTTGAGAGGTGAGCTTATTATTGCAATGGCTTCGGGATCTTCATTTTATATTTGTCCATAACGCGAACAAAGAGTTGAGGGGGTTGGAGAGAGAGAGAGAGAGAGAGAGAGAGAGAGAGAGAGAGAGAGA